GGGAGAAAGATGGGCATCTCCTCCCGTGGACATGGAGACCCTGAAATCCCCGTGGAGGGCCAGCTATGAGTAGCTTCTAGACGCCACAGGACACAACAGGATGACTGTTACTTCTTACCTCAAATATTTCTTGACTCCCTGCACTGTGCTAGAGGCCATCCATGCTGGGCCACGGGCATGTGGGGGTCCCTGGCTCACAGGCTCAGCTGACCCCTGTCAAGGTGCCACAGAAGAAATGCCTGGTGATTTTCTGGATGGTCACAGCCTGAAAAACGGAAAATCCTGTGGAGGGCGGGTCCCCTCTGATGGGGCCACATGAGTGAGCAGTGACCTGAGGGAGACTTTATTGTTTAAATCTGGAAAACCACGATGTAGATGAGAGAAGAGGGGCCCCTCCCTCAGAAAATGCTCAATTTGAACATATGTTGTTGTTGTTGTTTGGTGCCATCGAGTAGTAGATGACTCATAGTGACCCTATGAACCAAAGGCCTGAACACTGTTTGTACATAGAGTTTCCGGAGGCAAGCCATTTCAGAAGTGGACGCCGCTCTCCTGCTTCCAGGCTTGTTTTATCGGGAAGCTCCAGCCAACACTGTCCACCATGGGTACCTATTACCATGATAATTTGAACATATAGACATTGATATTTCTATAGATAGATATGGATATGGATATATGGGTATAGATATATATGGATATAGATACATATGAATATGGAGATATATGGGTATGGAGATATATGGATATAGATATAGATGGATATGGAGATATATACATATATATATATATACACACACACACACATGGATCTATCTATCTATATGGGTGTGGATAGATATGGATATGATATATATGGAGATATATGCATATATATGGATATGGAGATATATATGTATATGTATATATATGGATATAGATCTATATGGTTATGGAAATATATACATATACATATACATATTCACACACATATATATACAAACACACACACACACACACACACACACAATAATTTGTTTTTGTTGTTGATTGCTGTTAAGTTGAGCACGACTCAGCAACTCTATGGACAAAGGACTTGAAGTCTTTCTATAACTATCGTCATTTCTTAAATTTCATGGTTTCCAGAGGCATGTTGTTTAGGAAGCGGATGCCACCTCTGCTTCTAATGTATCTATATCTAGATAGATAGAGATAAATAGATACATAGATATACGCATGATTAGATATAGATAAAATATAGATGTAGATATTTATATCTGTCTATCTACAGATGGATAGATATTGACAGGTGTGTTTTTGTTGTGGTGGTGGTGGTTTGCCATTGAGTCAGAACTGACCCATAAGTGACCGTCCAGCAGGTCATCAGAGGCAGTAAGCCACATGGGAGAGGGGCCCTCATCTTTCTCAACCTTCTCCCATACAGCAGCGGCTGGATTCAAACCCGTGTCATTGGGTTGACAGCACAACTCCTTACCATTAAGCCACCAGAGCGCCTACCTACACTTAAAGAGTGAAAGGAGGTGGAGAGAGACAGAGAGAGAAAAGAGAGGGAAGGAGAGAGGAGAGGAAGAGAGAGGTGAAGAATGATGAGAAAGAGAAAGGATCTAAAGAGAAGTGGGAGGGAGCGAAAGACGGAGAGAGAGTCTGTGTGAGGAAAACAGCCTGGGGCTCCCCAGCAGCAGTGGGAGGCAGAGGGCACAGGGGGAGGATCTTTCAGCACCTGGGACAGCACCCTGCACTTTGCCGGAACTTATTAATAACATCGATACGGCGGTGGGATGCCTGTCTGATATCCAGAGAGGTATTCTAACAAGCCCAGGTGTGTCTGGGAATCAGGTGGGAGGTCGCAAGAGCAGGCGAATTGCATGGGCTGTTCTCCTTATAATAACATCCACAGCCTATACAGTCTGGCACTGAAGCTAGGTTCTTGTCACGAGCTCCTTCACAGCATCCTGGCAAAAGAAGGTAGCGCTGGTAGTCTGGTGGTAAGGAGATGTGCTGTGAACCCAAAGGCAGGCTGTTCAAATCCGAGGGAGAAAGGTGGACAACCTCCTTTTGCGCCATTTATAGCTTCTGGAAACTCCGGCCCCTGGAAGGTCAGCCCCCTGGAGGGTCAACCCTGACTTGGTGCAGACTGGAAGGCAGTGAATTGGTTGAGATAACTAAGGCAGGGGCGCAAAAGGTTTACACTTGAACTAGAAGTTACCTGGTTGAAGTCCAGTGCCGCTTAAGAGGAAGGGTGCCTTCTGTAAGGATTCCAGGTGAAAAGCGGGGGGGGGGGGGGGGGGAGACGTTTTATCCTGCAGCAATCAAGAATCAACTTGATGGCAGTGGTGTTTGGTTTCACTGTAATTAGTTTTGTGCCTGGGAGGAAGATTTCATTAAGATTCTAGTTCACAGAAAAGGAGATCAATTTGTGGAGGGGGGGAAAGGCTGCATTGCTGGTCAAGAGTGGTGTTGTTGTTATACACACCCATGTTTATCATGACTTTGTTCACAACAACAGGAGTTTGAAACAACCCAACCCAAATGCCCATCAACAAATGAATGGTTAGAGGAGCTGTGGTATATTCACGCAATGGAATACTATGCTGCATTGAAAAACAAGGAACTCATGCAATATTATTCAAAATGGGTGACTCTGGAAAACATGATGCTGAGGGAAATATCTCAGTCACAAAAGGACAAATACTGCATAGTGCCAATGTTGTGAAACAGGACTGATATTGGGGTTGGGGAGGAGACTGAGAAAGAAGGGATAAACTATGTAGACTGCATTGAAACAGATGAGGGAGAGAACTGTTTAGAAGGGATCTATGATTAGGTATTATTGTCATGTTAGGAGTCCAGAATGAAGGCTGCATAGTGGGGTGGACCTAGGGGGAGGGATTGTATAATAATGAAAGAATTTTTCCTTTACTTTTCAAAGAGAAGAGTGTGCTGGTGGGAGGTGGGCAGGGAGAAAAGTGCAACAGTGAATGAATGGAAATCCAAAATCTCTGAAACTTTTCATTAAAATTAATAATAAAAAAAGTGAGGAAAGAGAAAAAAATGTTGTTGTTAGATGCTGTCAGATCAGTTAGAATTCACAGTGACCCTTCCGTATATATCTGTCCTCCCTATTCTTGCTCCAATACTCACAATTGTTGCAGCCACTGTGTTAATCTACCCCTCTGAGGGTCTTCCTCTTTTTTTTTTTTTGGTTAATCGTCTATTTTTCCAATTTCTTCTCTAGGCACTGGGCTCTCGTGAAAACATGCTCAAAGTGTGTGAGATGAAATCTCGCGGTCCTTTCTTCCAAAGGACATTCTGACAACACTTCTTCCAAAACAGATGTATTTGTTATTTTGGCAGAGCACGACATATTCATTATTCTTTGCCAACATCGTAACTGTTGTTGTTAAGTGCCATCAGGTTGTAAATGACTCACAGTGACCCTATGAATAAAAGATCTGAACACTTGTATAACTTTCATCCTTTCTCCAGGTTCATAGAGTTTCTGGAGGCAAGCTATTTCAAAAGTGGATGCCACTCTTTCTTCCAGGCTTGTTTTAATCGGGGAGCTCCACCAAACACTGTCCACCATGGGTAACCATGATCGCATTTGACACATTAGTGTTACACTGTTCAGCATCACAGCAACCACGAGTTACCTCTGTACAGCAAATGGACAGACCAGGGTTATACCACTGAGAAGAATGTTTGACCAAAAACAATTTAAACCAGTACTGATTATTATTCTGAGTGAACTGACTCAGTCCCACAGGGACAAATACTGTATAAAACCATTGTTGTAGAATGAGTATGAGGTCCAAGGGGAGGGATGGGAGGGTGGAAGCAGAGAGGTGAGGTTGGGGTGGTGGTGGTAATCACAGGGTTATACAAGGTGGTGAAGAAAGGGGAATAATCTTTTGTGAAAAATTATGTATTCAAACTTTATAAATATATCATTACTTTTTAAAAAGGATGATTTGAACCTCGTGCCTTTGGAATTCCAGTGCACCTTCTTACCATTAGGCCACCAGAGCTCCCTAGCGGGTATTGTAATTAATGTCAGAAAACAAAATGTGTGTGAATGAATGTTTAAAAAACCCCAATATGTTTGGTAGACTTCCACTCAAACTAGAATTTTAGAAAATGTTATGTATATAAAATACACATATATAATGATATGTGGTGGATGCTATCTGATAATCCCACTGTTTGATAAAATGAACAGTTCATGAGAGGATTAAGGGTGACCATAATACTCCATAATCCATCACAGCCTTAGTTGGATGTCAGGGAAATTCCTTTCAACACATCGGAAATAAAAGAGGAGAAAAGAGTGCGGGGGAGCATGGAATTTAGTATCACCACGAAGACACCATCGCAGGAGATGATGCATCTTTTTGGACCCAGGCCTCTGCACAACTGAGCTCGTTGAACTGAGAAGGGTCAGACTGCACCGAGGTCTCTTTGATCACTGGGCCTCAAATCCTTAAGCTCTTCCACGAACTCTATGAGGCAGGTGCTACCAGTAAATATTTATTTTCAGATGAGAAGATAAGCTCAGAGATCTGAAGAACACATGGAGGTTTGTGGAGAGAGAGAGAAGGAGGGAAGGACGGAAGGAGAGAGAGGGAAAGGAAGAAGGGAGGGAGAGGAGGAAAGAGAAAAAGATGGAGAAAAACTGGAATTGGCAGTGTACGGATTCGAACCCTCAGACTATCAGATATGAACTCGCTTCTCTTTTTAAGGAGCTGTGGGAACCTCCAGCAAGCCCCACCCCTGGGCCACGGCTCCGCCCCCTGCGTGCTTGAAACTACCAATCCCAGCACTCCATGCGCATGACCCGTTGCTCATAGGTTCTCTTCCCTCGAGGCCCGCCCCATGTTCCTGCCTCTTTCGGTTCACTTCCGGAAAGCCCCTGATTGCAGCCCGGCCGGGACAATCACCCACGTGGGTTGTAGAGACCGTGCGTCCAGGGCCCAGCGCGACCCCCGATCGGAGCTGCTGGCCACATGAGCCGCTACCTCGTGCCGCTGTCCGTGCTGGGCACGGTGGCGGGAGGCGCTGTGCTGCTCCGGTGAGTAGGGGGTGCTGTCCGGGCACCTTAGTGACCTCTGGACCTGGGTTTCTGGACGGGAAGGAACTTGGAATCCTCTTGTCCCCCAGAATGTGTGTGGGGGGAAATCAGTCAGGCTCGGGCTCGGAGAGGGCTGGACACCGGTCCCCAAGGTCACCCCGAGGAAGGAGGGTGGCCTGGACTCTTTTTTTAATTTTTATTTTATTATTTTTGTGTGCGTGTACCGTTAAATCAGATCTGACTGGTACAGGAGGAGATTGTCCCTCCTTCCCCAGCAGAGCATCTGGTGGATTCGAACCGTGCGCCTCTGCGATTGTAGTTGCAGCTCCTTACCACTAGGCCACCAGAGCTCCTCTGGCATGGACTCTTGTAAACGATATGGACAGTTCTTTCTGGACTTTCAAATTAAACCAACAAGTGTGAGTCCAGGACTTTGTGTCACATGTTGGCCGAGTTGTTAAAATAATATACAGGATTAAAAATAAATTCACACCTATTTCCATCCAGTCCTGCCATCCAGTCTTAAATTATGGCCACTTGCAGCAAGTTTCCGAGACTGTGAATCATTCTCCTGGGGAGCAGCTGGGGAATGCAGAGTTCTGGCCACCACCAGAGTTCCGTACTATACAGAGTTTGTTGTTGTTGTTGTGTGCTGTGTTTTAGGGTTGACTGACACAGCCACCCTACAACAGATCGAAACCTTGGGAGTCCTGCTCTGGCCTCCTGGTCTCTGCTGGACTTAAGCACAATGCAGCAGTCATTGTGTGCCAAGTACCTCACTGCGGGTCTGCCTTCATCTTCTTCGCTCTCCATCTTTCCAAGCCTGATGGTCTCTTGACAAGGACTGGACCTTCCTGACAGTATGCTCAAAGTATGTGAGACCAAGTCTCACAGTGGTCTTTGCCTCTAAGGAGCCCGCCAGATGTCCACATCTGTTTATTCTTTGGCAGTCTATTGGCAGCATCGGTATGGATGATGAAGAGATTGAGACAGTTAACGACTTTAGTTTTCTTGGCTCCACAGTCAACACTCTTGGTACCAGCAGCCAGGAAATAAAGAGGCAAATTGCATTGGAAAAGTCAGCTGTCAGGGAGCTCTCCAAAGTACTGAAGAGCAATGACGTCAGGCTGGAGACTAAGGTGCACCTGATCCAGGCTGTAGTCTTTCTTCTTAGTCCTGTACCCATCTGAGAGCTGTCCCATGAAATAGAAGAGACTCAGAAAGGATTAAGTGTGTCATGTCTCACCTTTAGGGACTATGTTGGTGGTGGGGTCTGTCCGAGCAAGGCCACCATTCCTGGGAAGACTGTCATTGTGACGGGTGCCAACACCGGTATCGGGAAGCAAACCGCTTTGGAACTGGCCAGAAGAGGTAACGCCTGACTGACCGCCACCTTACTTCTAGAGGGAGAGGGTGCTTACCTAGGAATTGCTACAATCATTAGATTCTTTCCTTTGTGTGTGATCAAAACCAGCTCACGCTCTCTTAAACCAGAAAGAGGCTCCTGTACTTGGAATGGATCAGGGAGGATCTCAGAGAAAGCTTCAGGGTGGTCATAATTTTTAAAATTTTGGTTTTTCTATTGGACTGACCTCGCTCTTTTCTGCTATAGCGAGGGGGACTAGAGTCACAGGCGAGGGGTTACAACCTGGCACGAGGCTGTTGCAGACTTAAGCTGCCCCAGCTTAACAATTTCAGTACAGAGAAAATTGCCCCTTCTCCATCTCCTTGTATATAAACTAACAGCGGAGCGCTCCCATTGGCTCCTTCCCCATCACGTGCCCACAGTCTGGCCCAATCATTGTGCCCTTTCATGTATCCAGTTAATTATAAAGTTACATGCTGTGCTTAAGTCTTCCTGTTGTTTTCTAGTCTATTTATTTATTTATTTTTAATATTCAAAAGCTTTGAGATAAAAATTCACCCAGAACACAGTTTACTCATTTAAGTATGCACCCCAGTGGTTTTTGTTTATGCCAGAGTCTTTTTTATTTTTTTTAATGGTTTTAAAATTTTTTTATTATATTTTTGTGTGTACAGTCCAATCGGATCTGACTGGTACAGGAGGAGATTGTCCCTCCTTCTCCAACAGAGCATCTGGTGGATTCGAACCGCACACATCTGGAATTGCAGTGAAGCTTCTTGCTATGCCAGAGTTTTGTAAACATCACATTTTAGAATCATTTCATCAACCCAAACAGAAAACCACACCCCTTCATTCTCCACACCCAGCCTTAGATAATCACTAATCTTCTTCCTGTTTCTAGAGATTTCATTTCCTCGATTAGTTATGTGCTATGTCACCTTCAGTGACTAAAAGGTCTTTTTGACCTTTTAGTCAATAGTATGTGTGAGTCTATGATGAAAATATATTGATATGGGTATATATAATGTATATCTCTATAAATTATGTATGTTTTCATTTAAAAAGCCTTTTCCTTTTTATTAAAAGCTGTGATGTGAGTAAAATTTTACAAAGCAATGATTTTTCATTCAATCATGGGTACACACATATATACATAGACTGACACAAATATTCCTACGTACACACCTATAAGGAACCTCTGGTGGCCTAGTGGGAAAAGGAGTTGCCCTGCCAACCCAGAGGCAGGCTGTCTGCACTCACCAACTGCTCTGCAGGAGAAAAGTGGGCAGTCTGCAGCCTCTGATGACCCAGTGGACAGTCACCTCTGAGTTGGTTCTTACCTGACGGCATGTAACAGTTCTACCATCTCTCTCTCTCACACATACATGTATTTGGTGTCCATAATTAAAATGTATTTGTTGTTGTTGTTAAGTGCCGTCGAGTCGCTTGCGACTCATAGCGACCCCATGTACAACAGCCCTAAACTCTGCTCTGTGCTGTGCCAGTCGCACTGTCTCTGACACTCCCATCCCAATTATCCCAGTCACTGAATCAGTCCACCTCATAGAGGGTCTTCCCCTCCTGCACTGTCCCTCCACCCTCCCAAGCATGATGTCCTTCTCCAAGGACCGGTCTCTCCTGACAGCATGTCCAAAGTATGTTAGACGAAGCCCCAGAATCCTTGCCTCCAAGGAGCCACCCGGTTTAACCCTTTCCAGGACGAATCTGTTTGTTTTCCTAGCAGTCCATGGTATTCTCAATACTCTTCTCCAGCACCATAGCTCAAAGGCATCAATTCTCCTTCTATCCTCCTTAGTCATTGTCCAACTCTCTGATGCCTAACAAGTGATTGCAAAGGCTGTGTCCTGAATTATGCACACCTTAGTCTCCAGACTGACATCATTGCTCTCCAGTACTCTGGAGCCTAGGCTTTCTCCTCAGGCAAATACTGCTCTTTTGACTTATCTGCTGGGTTAGTCTGAGAACTGAGTGCCTCCTTGTTATTAAGTTTTATTTATTGGCCCCTTGATCCAATCCATCATTTGTCCTCACGACTGCTTCTTCCATGAGTGTTAATGTTACATCCAAGTAAAGTGAAATCTTTTGACAACTTCTGTCTTTTTTCCATTTGTCGTGATTTTTTTTTTTTACGGGTGTAGTTGTGAGGAATTTTGTTTATGGTGCGGTATAATCCACAGTAGGGAATTCTGGTGGCCTAGTGGCAAGAAGCTGTGCTGCAATCCCAAAGGCACAAGGTTCAAGGCCACCAGCTGCTCTGTGGGAGAAGGATGGACAGTCTCCTCCCATGCAATTAACTGACTCTGGAAACCCACTGGAGGGTCAGCTTTGGGTCGGTTCTGACTGTATGGTACACAACAACAACAACCACAACAAGAAATGGGTTATTACAATGATGTTTACCTTTCTTGTGATTCTTTTTCCCCACGCTGCACTCCCCAGGAGGCAACATCATTCTGGCCTGTCGTGACATGGACAAGTGTGAGGCAGCCGCCAAGGAGATCCGAGGGGAGACCCTTAACCACCGCGTCACCGCCCGGCACCTGGATTTATCCTCCCTCAGGTCCATCCGAGAGTTTGCCAAGAGGATCATCGAAGGTAGGAAGGCGGGTGCCGGCTTTGTGGGACCGTGAGGTGGGGGAAACGGGTCCTAGGACCAGGTCTGAGAAGGGGAAAAAAAACCCCTAAGCAACGTCTAGAGCCAAAGTCTGCAGATTACACTCCTGCACCGGTCTAATTACCTGGTCAACTGAAAGCAAAAACAAAACAAAACAGGATAAAGTAATATATTCATCTTTTCTTTTTTTTTTTCCTTTTAAAATTTTTATTATATTATTTTTACGTGTACCGTCAAATCAGATCTGACTGGTACAGGAGGAGATTGCCCCCTCCTTTTCCAGCAGAGCATCTGGTGGATTTGAACCGTGTACCTCTGGGATTGCAGTGCACCGTCTTGCCACTAGGCCACCAGAACTCCCCCTGTAATATATTCATCTTATAAAGCAATTTAGACAACACTCTTGGCATCAGCAGCCAGGAAATGAAAAGACGTTGCGATCTGATAGTCTGCTGCTAGGGAGTCGTGAAGACTCAAGTCCGGGTGTTTGATTAGCCCTTCTGGACTAACTAGTCTCTGAAGCTCTTCACTCTTCTGCCCTCCAGATGGACAGGCAGAAGCTAAGAGTCTCCTGATTGAAGCTCTCACATTTTTACTTGCTTCCTGGGCGTCTGAACGTTGGATAAGGAATAAGACTGAAGAAGAATGGATACCTTTTAATGAACATTTACAGAGATTTCGGATTTCCTTCCATTCATTGTTGCACTATTTTCTCTAACCCCCGCCCAGTTCATTCAAACCTGTCTTGAAGGAAGTATAATCAGAGCTCGCCTCAGGGGCAAAGATGGTGAAACTCTGTCTCATGTACTTTCACATGTTATCGGAAAGGAAAAATACCTCATGCTTGGAGGAGCTCAGGTTCTGTGAGAGAGAGGAAGTCTGTTAACGAGTTGGACTGATGTAATGACAACTTAAGCAGCAGTGGCCTTGACTGTGTGTGTGTGTGGAGGGCCTTGTTAGGGGATGCAGGACATGGCCAGGTTTTGTTCTGTGATTCACGGGGCACCTTTGAGTCATAATCGACTCGATGACACCTAACAACAAAAGAGCTTTGCAGCACAGAGACCAGCGAGAGGGGCCAGGAGCCCCGGGGGGAGAGAGAGAGAGGCTAGCCTTTGTGTACGGCTGAGCAGAGGCTGTCCTAATTGAGACGCTGCGTTCTAAACTCTAACCTCTTTTTTTTGGTGAGAAAAATTTATATTTAGAATTAGCCCGCTGGACTCAGTGTAGATGATCCCAATTTTGTTGGCAACATCCAAAGCATCATAGTCAGGAGCAAGTCGAACATAGGCCTTCTTCTCTCCATCAGGCCTGATCAAAGTGTTGACCTTAGCCACATCAATGTCACAGAGCTTCTTTACAGCTGGTTTAATTTGGTGCTTGTTGACCTTGACATCCACAATGAACACAAGTGTGTTGTTATCTTCTGTCTTCTTCATGGCTGACTCAGTGGTCAGGGGAAATTTGATGATGGCATAGTGGTCAAGCTTGTTTCTCCTGGGAGCGCTCTTCCTGGGGTATCTGGGCTGCCTTCGGAGTCTCAGCGTCTTTGGCCGCAGGAAGGTGGGTGACATGCGGATCTTTTTTTTTTTTGTCTGTGGATGCCCTTCAGGATGCCTTCTTGGCCTTCAATGCCTTTGCTTTGGCTTCAGTTTTGGGAGGGGCAGGGGCTTCCTTCTTCGCTTTAGGCACCACCGTAGAAAAATAAACTCTAACCTGTTAATTCCCTCATACTCCCTGTCCTTGGAAGGATATTGTCCTTGAGTTCTGTGTGGCTGTTGCAACCAGCTATCAAGCCCAGCAGAGAAGCAGAGAGCAAGCAATGGGAGGGGCAGCTGGTGACAGAACTGGGGAAAAGATGGGGAGCGTGGAGGCGGCAGGGCTGACCTCCGCATCCAGCCTTGCTTGGGCTCTTGGTCCAGATTGTCTCTCTCTCTCCGGCTGGTGGGTGAAGTTCCTGGAGGTCAGATGACGCCTCTATACTCAAGGATGATGCCGGTGTTTTCAGCAGTGACGCTGCACTGATGACTCACTCTCTTTGCTTCCAGCCCAGCAGGCTCAGAACTGTCTCGTCACTTTTACAAATCCACTGACCGGATTAAATGTCCCGATAGTGCAAACAGGTGTCGAGAAGGCAGTCTTCCTGCGACACCTGCCCAGAGCTGTCCATCCAGCCACTGCCTTCACATCTTGTGTGTGTGTGTGTGTGTGTGTATATATATGTATATATATTTTTTTTTTGAGAGGTTTTGTGCATTTTTCTTTTCTTTTTTTCCTCCTCTCTAGAACAAGAACAGGCCATTCCTTTATTGACATGCATAAAATACATCACATTTTCTTTTTTTTTTTTTGGTGAGAATATTTTTTTTTAAAAGCTTGGTTTTATTTTATTTTTTT